ATTTGTTTGAAAAGTGAACAGAGGTGGGATCGTTCGTCCTATAGAACATCTCAGGTATTGGGTTTGGATGCTTGTCTTCTTGGTCCTTTATGTATGATGGCGATTTTCAGCTTATGTACCTCAAAAAATTTTGAAACATATAGTACCTGACTATTTCGTCAGGGGCACTGACCTCTTTTCCCTTAGATCGTTAATTTAAAAAAAAATGATAGCAGCCAATACAACAATAACCATCCAGTGTGAATGAGTGAAAATTATACCTTTTGGGGGGTCAGATTGGCAAAAGGTATATTTTTCGGCGTGGCACAGAATTTTAGTAACTAGTGTATGTGTGCCATGAGGTGGAAAAGCTTAGAAATCGCTGCTCTGTGTATTTCCTGAAAACTGGTCATTAGATCCAGACTTGAGTTTGCAATGCTTTGCTGGGGTCCTTCCTAGGCCGTGCCATAAATTTCTCGCTGCATCCTCCACTTCCCGAGGCACGTAATTTCTAGTCGCCCCACTGTTACAGATGCCAAGACTTGTCTGTGTGTCCTGAGGTTGCCAGGCTCCTGCGTTCATCACAAACTTCCTCGCATCTTTCGTGTCCAGGTCTTAGCATCCACTGATGAGCTTTGCCTAGATCCACTGTTCCATTAGGAGTTGTAAAACACTGATTTCCCAATACTGCCATGCCTTTTAAATTGAATTGCTGGTATTCTTCAATTAAAAAAAAAACAACTTTTCTCCATCCACTATGTGCAGCTCTGTGAAATACACGTCACCCAGACAAAACCAGCAGTGAACAGGAACCACTATTTCCCTTGCTCTCCTGACGACCACGGTAATAAACCGGCTGCCTGACAACCTCCCGTGGTGACATATTAGCTGTTGCATGTCCAAGGAAGCTCCTGGCTTTTTACATATTTAACTTGTTTCAGCCAATTTAATGTGGGGGCTCTAATGGCCCTATTTTTGGCCAGTGGAAGCCTCTTCCTACCCATTCCGGAGGCTTTCGTCAGGCCGAGTCACCCAGCCCTTCAAGGCGCCCCAGGGCTCATCTCCACAGCAGACGGCCCAGCTCTGGAATGCTCCAGACTTCAAAACTCTCCCCGCCCTTCAGTGGAAAGCGCTGGAGGCCACCTGCCGGGCCTCGGGCTACTCTGTTATCAGGGTTTCGTTGCTTCAAGGCTTTTCCATGCGCGGAGCCAGAAAATACATATTTTTAGAACAAAAATAAGTACAAACTTCTATTTCCAATTCAAGTTTTAAGATTGCAGGGCTTTACTTAATCTTCCCTGTTTTATGCTTCCATCTCTTTTCCACTAAAAATGTTGTTTCCGAACCACATTAGCATCATTACTTATGTGCTTTAACCTAGAGTGTACAGTTAGTAGTTTCAAAGTAAGAGGATCACCAACAGTAAGGTTACCGGGTACAGTTTCGGATTCCTTGGAATTTTTTTCATTTATTTTTTTCTTCTTTTTTAATTCTATTTTTGGTCCATATATAATACCTGCCTGTGAATGCAGAGCCAAAAATTCTTCGTTTGAAAGCCATCTGAAGTCATGTTTTGCTCTGTATGATACAGTGAAGCCCATTTGTTTCAGTCTGTTCTCAGTTTCGAGAGCTGTGATTTTTACACATTTATTTATTTTTTGATTCTGTGGCACATTCACATGATTGCACAGTCGAACATAAAACAAGAAAATTCTCACTTCCATCCCTGCTCTTCACCCTCAATTACAATTTTTGTCCGTGTTCTGGTTTATTCTTCTACTGCTTCTTACTGAAAATGTACATGGATGTGTACTTGTCTATGTCTACGTCAAAGCAGCAAATCGTAAACCCCGTTCTGCCCCCTTTTTAAAACGAATCAGTAGGCCCCAGCGATCTCGCCCATTCCACCTGCATCGCCCCCAGGTGGGCGAGGGCGCTCGCACCTGTCCAAGGCGCCCCTGCTGATGGCCAGTGCTAATGGTGCACTTCTGGTTGCCTGCTTTGGGAAATGATACTGCAGCGCATGGCTGGTGCCTACATCTCTTTTTATTTTTGCCAGTGTATCTTTGGGGTGGACCCCTAGAAGAATGGTTGTGTTAAAGGCCATATGGGTCTGTCATTTGCTACATGCCGTCAAACCCCCTCTCGAGGGGATTTGACCACCCAAACCTAATTTAAACAGTATTCAGTAAGGAGGGGTGAGATGCAGCGTCCCCACTCCATCTACCCCCTCAGTGAGGAACTAGGCCAGCCTGTGCACAAGGGACAGACCTGGACAGACCCCACGTAGGCACACCAAGGCCCTGCGAGTCCTGGGAGGAACCACGAATCCCAGTCTCTTTACTCTGGCTGGACTGAGACAGGTTTCATGGGTGTCCCTGTTCATCTCAGGCCGAGCAGAAGCCCTGATGGTCGATTTTTATTTTCTTTGATTGGTAAGACACTTAAAAATTGATCATTTCTCTGTGTGGTTGGTTTGGCACACAAAATGCTTCTAAGGCATGGATCCAGTGGGGGAATTACATTAGGGCCTCAGCAAGTGGAAGTTTTTAAGTCTGTTGGATTATCTGACCCTGGGGTTCTTTTTATGACCAGTGGAAGGGAAATGAACACGGTTAGGATGCTTGCAGTCTGGAATGACTAGGATGCGTCTAGTCCTTCAACCAACATGAATTGAACATCCCCCCACCCCAAACCCAGTCCCCTCCACTCCCACCTCTAGGCAAGAAATAAAGCCTGCACAGCCTGCGAGCTGAATCCAGCCCACAGTTGCTTGAAGGTTGGCTCACACCACAATTTTTTTAAAAAATTAGTTCCTGCCCTGGCTGGTGTAGCTCAGTGGATGGACAGGTTGGGGGGGAGGACTCTGCTCTCTCTTCTTCCTTAAATAATCTTAAAAAAATTAGTTGCTGACATTTACACATCAAGGGAGTTCACATAAATACCCAGACCTCAGACGTCTCTTGGAAATTTGGCCCACCAGCCTGCTTTCTAGCATGGCCACTGCTGGTCCCAGCTGAGTAGGGGCTGCCCCATGCCCAGGGGGCCATCCGGCCCCTCCATTCCTCTCCCTTGCTTTCTGGGCCTTGGGTTCACGAGTTTGGCTCTACACTGCAAGCTGCCCAAAGGCCAGGGCCACCAATCTTGCTGGACTTCCCAGCATCTAGCCCAGACCCCAGCCTATCCCCGGTCCTCAATAAATGAATGTTTGTTGAATGAATAAAATACATTTTGGACACCTGCGTCACATGTCCTCCGATATGAAAATTGCACTGTTGTTATACTGCTCCAGCCTAGGTGTTTGAAGCAGAGTGGCACCATCAGAACCTCTGATTTGTGCCGTCTGTCCCATTACCTAGAGCCACTCATATGCCAGGGGGCTGCCCCCACAGCTTCACTCTGCCTTTGACATCTATTCCTCCTAGCAACCTCCCCTCCAAGTGCAGACAGCGAGACACGGCTCACAGGATCCCTACGAAGACAACAGGAGACCAGGAATGTCAAGCATGGCAGCTAGCATTTCTTTTTATGACATGATTAGCTGTGTTTTATCTCCAAGATAGCAAGCATCTCTGCACTCTTTGTCAGATCATGTGGTTTGGGTTTTTTTTTTTTTTTCCAGCCATGCCCCAAGGAAGAGATTACAACAGAGATCTCTGCATTCGGAAAAAATTCTAAGTCCCTTCCTTAGGAGCATTGATGGAAATAAAGATCTTATCGGGAGCCTTGTATCCCTTATCGAGGCCATCAGTAGCCCTCCGAGGGGGCAATGAGGCCAGGTGAGAGCGAATATAACCGGCAGTGCTCGCCCATCACTGCATGCTCAAAACTCCCTCTTTCCTGAGTGCGCTGGATCCAGGAAGAAAGCATGAAGTGGATTGGGCTCCTCGGCCTGGTGGCCCTCTCTGAGTGCTTGGTCACGTAAGTACGGGGACTGCAGGCAGCACCAGCTCTCTTCTGGGCTCTTCCCCATTGTCCTCTTATTCTCCCACCACCCAGGGGTAAAGAAGAGAACGCCGTCATTCCCTGTCTTGAAGTCTTAAGTCTCCGTTTACTGATGAGTAGCTTGTCGTGTGCACTGTGGGGCCCAGGGGTCTTGGGACCAGCCCGTGGGGTTACACGTCCCCAGGTTGCACATGGGATCTGTGGATGGTGCTCCCCGGCATTGCTCAGGGCACAGCCTGCACCGCTGGAAAGGTGGAGCCAGCGGGGACAGCGTTCCTCTCCAGTTTGCTTCTACACCTTCTCCCCGCTCTCTCAGTTTCCAGGTGCCTGTGCCTCCGTGTCTGCAGCTCCGTATCTCTTCTCCCCTTCCATCTCTTTGGATGCCTCTGTACACGCAAAACTCTCTGCAGTTTTTTTTCCTATTTTGATTCTTGTTGCTCTATCCTCTGAATTTTCCTAACGTATTCCCCATCGGCTGGCCTCCTCTCTCAGCCTTCTCCTCTGCTTGAACCCTGGAGAAAGATCAGGAGCGATACTCCAAGTCCGGTTTTGCTCTCCGGGAAGTGTGACCAGCACCAACTCACAAACTCCCTGCAATTCGGATTCCCCTTTCCCCCGTAAAAAAAGATAATGGTCCCCAAGCTGCCTCCCTCCCCAGGTTTCACTAAGAGACAATGAGGTGACAGTAGCGGTAGTATTGGTTCTCAATGTCAAGATCTCCCCTATGTCAGGTGCGTTATGTCTGTCAGCTCACTTAATAACCAAAAGATTCTATGTGAGGGGGGCCTTATCACTCCACCCCTTTACAGGTGGGGAGACCGAGGCTTCACAAGGTCACACGGCTTACCCGGGCTCACAGTGGAACCTATATGTGAACCCAGGACCGTGGTCTTATTCATGTTGTGTGACCTGTCGTGATAACAAGACGACATTCATACACACACTTGGAAAATTCGAAGTGTGATTACAGTGCAAGGCGTGGCAGCCACGTCAAAACACGGGGCAGTGAACTGTTTTCTCAGTTTTATTTGTTTCCCTTTCCCAACGAAAGAATCCCTCTGACGAAGATCAAGTCCATGAGAGAAAGTCTCAGGGAGAAAGACCTGCTGAAGGATTACCTGGAGGAGCACCCTTACAGCCAGGCCTACAGGTTTATCCAGAAAAAACCGGGAATAACTTACGAATCCATGAGGAACTTCCTGGACGTGAGTGTGGTGGGGGCAGCACTCCACAGCACCCCCTGGAGGTCTGGGAAAGCACTAGCGTGCGTCTGGAGGTGGGAGCCAGGATGTTGGGGCTGGGGCTGGGGAACAGGGCTCCCGTCTCCAGAGTTGAAGTCACTCCCGCCCTCAGCTCTTGGTCCGTGGTGACTGGGTCCAGCTGGGACCAGATGGCAAGTAAACACCCACTTTAATGCCAGGAACATGTCATTGAGCACCTGGGAACCACGGCATTGCTTTCACAGATTCTGTTCCTTCTGAACTGAAAGAACCAGTCACTGTGTTAGAGTTGAAGGCTGAGCCGTGTCTGATTAAACAACAAAGCCAATTGCAAGTCAAGTTTGATACCCTGGGCAGAGGACCTTTGGCCTCCACAGCCCCAAGAATGGCACCATTAAGAAGTTAGTGAGCCCCTACAATGTGTGAGGTTATAAAACCACTAACGTGATGGTTATTGTTGTGGATAACAAAGGGTCTCATCTATTCCACAAGAAGAGACAAAGGGAAAATAAATCAAATGAAAGGGCCACCTGCATGATATGGACATTACAGGTTTGAGTTTGGAGGAAGCTTCCTGGGGTAACCTAGAAAGGCTTCCTGGAGGAGGAAGCAGTCCAGCTGGGCCATGAAGGGTTTAGAGAGCTGCAGGGGAGACTGGAGAAGTGTTCAAGTGAAGGCACTGGCTGGAACCATGGCTGTGAGGTAGGCTGGTTGGAAAGTGATCTCAGGAGACACAGGGCACCCTAACAGAGGCAGGTATCCCAGGGCAGCCAGGCTTGGCCTAACTACCCCTTCCTGGCCCCGGCAGCTGTATTACATCGGCACCGTCAGTATTGGAACGCCCCCTCAGGAGTTCAAGGTCATCTTCGACACGGGCTCCGCTGACCTGTGGGTGCCCTCCATCTACTGCTTCAGCCGTGCCTGTGGTGAGTGCCCCCAGCCCTGTCTCAGCACTGCACCCCACCCCCAGGCTTTGGCGGGCCGGCCCACAAGCACTCTCTGTCCCTGCAGTCAGACACACGGTCTTCAACCCGAAGAAGTCCTCCACCTTCCAGGGCACGAACCGGTCCTTCTCACTCCACTACGGCTCTGGGAGCATGACGGGATTTCTCGGCTATGACACCATTAAGGTGAGGTGGAAACCAGAGGCAGAGGTGGGGCTGGCGCTGGGAGCGGCCTCTGCCTGAAGGACTGGAGGCAGGGTCAGCTAGAGGCACCGTCTTTCCCCAAGTCTCCCCACTGGTCGCCTGCCTCTTGGGGCTGCGTCCCTTGGAGAGAGAGCACTCCTGCTGACGAGCTCTCCCAGTGGCTAACCCACAGAGTGGGTCGTGGTGCTGGAGGGGCTTGGAGGCGTGGGCCTGCAGCCCTTTCTCCCACGGAGGGCTCAAGACTGATTTTGCTGAGAGCAGGGCAAGGTGAGGAAAAATCTATTTGCATATTCTCAGTTTGTGCTGGCACCGTGCTGGGCACTTGCATGGCAATACCCCGTCTAATCCTCCAACAAGCCCACGTGGTGGGCACTACCGCTACCTCCGTGACACAGACAAGGGGGCTGAGGTACAGAGAGAGTGAGCACCTTGCCCAAGGCCCCAGACCAAGAAAGCGGCAGAGCTGGAATGCGAGTCAGGACTCATGCAGGTGCGGGGTGTTTTTCAGGAGAGGGTGGAGCTAATCTGAGGTCTCTGGGGGCTGGGGAGAGCTCCAGACATCAGCGAGGGGGACACGGGGGGCCACAGATGCCAGAGGGCCCCCTGTGATACAAAGCGTTCCTACTTGGGAGGGGGGCCTTTGAGAATCTAATAAAAACTGTGGACTGTGCCAAAGCACACACACATACACACACACACACACACACACACAAAGCAGACTTCACCGGAACTCCGGGGGCTACATGGTGTGGCTGGCTTCTCGCTCCTGGGATGCGGAATCCACAGTGAATTGTGACGAGTTCCCTCCACTTCTGTCATCAGACCACCGCAACACCAGAGAGAAGACCATCTGCTCCCTGTTCATTTTGTCCTGGAGTAGGAACCCCTTGGTCCCACTCTGAGCCTCAGTTTCTCAGCTGTAAAAAAAAAGGGGGGTAGAGCATGTTTTGTGAATTAGGATGATGCTAGCAGGAGGAGTGGGTGCTGGCTGAACCCCCCCAGCAATGCACAATGCATTCCTGCTCTGGCTTGTCATAGCCATCTGAGGCCAACGCAAAGCACAGCCTCGCCTCAGTTTACCCCTGGGGTGCCAGCGGCACCTCTCTGCCGGCCTCTGCCCCAGCCCAGGCCCAGCCCTGCTTCTCCACGTTTACACGAGATCACCCGCCCGCCTTTCTCGCAGATCGGGACCCTGGTGGACCGGTCCCAGGCGTTTGGCCTGAGCAAGACAGAGGTCAGCAAGATCTTGGAATATGGGGCTTTCGATGGCATCCTGGGCCTGAGCTACCCCAGCATGGCGCTCACGGGTACCACTCCCGTCTTTGACAACTTGTGGACACAAGGAGTCCTTTCTCAGAACCTTTTTGCCTTCTATTTGAGCAGGTAAGTCTGGGCTACACAAGCCCTCCCTCCAAATCAGCTGTAAGATACTTTCTGTTGTGTGAAAAATTATAGGAGATTCGTCCACAAGTTTCCTGAGAGACAGCCCAGTCCAGGTGTCAGCAAATAGTGGCCTGGGGACACATCTGGCCCACCAGCTGTTTTTTATAAATAAAGTTTTATTGGAACACAGCTCTGCTCATTCAGTTACCTCCTGTCCATGGCTGCTCTGCTCTACAGTGACAGCATCATGCAGCTGTGTTAGAGGTCACGCAGCCTGCAAAGCCTGGAATAGCGACAACTGGCATTATAAAAAGTGTGCTGATCCCTGCAGTTCAATTCCTTTCTTTGCCAGATTGGGAACCTGAGGCTCAGAGAGGAGCTCTGCACACAATTGCCCAGGCACACACTGGTAGTGGCAGGGCTCGAACTCGGGCCACAGGACTGCCCCCCATGATGGGTGATGAGGCCATCAGCAGGTCTTTAGTCACTGGGCTCAGTAGCAGGAAAAGCTAATGTTCCTGACTGGTTGACAGCCTCGATGGGGTGTGGAGAGAGAAGCAGAGGCCACAGGACGGGGCCATTGACAGGCTGTGTTTTCCCACCAAAGGCAGAGGCTGTCCCCCTAGGCGCCAGGAGGAGGCGGAGGGTGGGGCTGAGGCTGCAGACGGCACAGGTCAGAGGCCTGTAAAGCCCCCGTGGGAGCCTGCACACACGGCCCCTGGCTTCCCAGCGGCCTCCGCAGTCAGAAAACAACAGGCCAGACCCCTCCGGCCCAGCACCTGCCGGCAGCCTCTCCGTGCACTCCGGCGACTGGAGGGGACCTGGCTGTCTTCGGAAAGGTGGGCAGTCAAAGCCCAGCCACACTGTCTGTGTTCGCACCTCAGCCTCACCGCTCCCCAGCCCTGTGACTGACCCTGGGCCAGCGCTCACACCGCTGTGCCTCAGCTTCCCCACTGGTACGGCGGACGCCACAGCTGTGCCTGCTCCGCAGGGCGGTGTGACCTGGGGAGAAGCAGTCACTGCTGAGAGCAACCCTGGGGCCAGGTGCGTCACCGAGCTTGAGAAAAGCCACCTGCTCTTCTCCCCTCACAACGAGCCCCCTCTCTGCCCCCCCCCCCAGCAACGAGAAGAAGGGCAGCATGGTGATGTTCGGCGGGGTGGACAGCTCCTACTACAAGGGAGAGCTCAAGTGGGTGCCCGTGAGCAAGCAGGGCTTCTGGCAGATCACCATGGACAGGTAAGCGCCCCCCTCTGAGGGCCAGAGCAGCGCCATCCCCACGCAGGCCCATGCACACAGGTGCAGGCGCAACGGACGCCGAGACGCACACTGGTAGGGGAGGGTACACAGTGATCCTGGTGCCTGCTCTGTCCCCTGTCTCCCAGCATCTCCATGAAGGGGAAGGTCATTGCATGTGAAGGCGGCTGCGAGGCCATTGCCGACACTGGGACCTCATTGCTGACTGGCCCAGATTACGACATCTTCGACATCCTGAAGACCATCAACGCCCGGATGACCAACACTGGAGAGGTGAAGCGTCCTGCCACAGGGTCGCTCCTGGGCTCTCCACGCAGAAAGGGGTCAGCTGGGCCAACCGTCTCCCTCCCCCTTTCTCTCGCAGTACGTGGTCAGCTGTAATGCCATCAACACCCTGCCTGACATTGTCTTCACCATCAACGGCTTCAAGTACCCGGTGCCGGCCAGGGCCTACATCCGGAAGGTGAGGGGCCAGCCCTGGGGGCTCGTTTTCAAGTCTGGGATGGGCGGGACGCACTGGGCTGCGGCTGGAAGAGGCCCCCTGTAGGCCAAGCCTCGTCATTGCAGATGCTGCTGAGCACCCCTGGCTGGGAGGACCCTTCCCACAAAACACACCTCTTGACAGCCAAGAGCAGGCCAGGGCATCCCTCATCCTCAGATAAATATGGAGTGGCCACCCCATGCTGGTGCAGTGCTAGGAGATGGGACACAAATGGCCACTGCCCTCTTAGAGCTTCAGTTCAACCAGGGCACTCAGACGGATGAACACGGACAGTGAGCCGCAGCAATCCTGGAAATGCGCAAAGGACAGGGACTGGTGGGGTTGGCAGGGGACAGTCCCAGTGAGCTATCTCACCATAATTTTTAACTGCATCCCCTTCCCATCTCCAAAGGGTCCTGATTCCACCGACAGATCCAATGGCCACCCTAGTCCTAGGTGACGATCCCCCTTGTGAAGCCCCAATCCCTCTCTGTGAAATAGAGTGACGACCCCTCCCTTGGTGGGGGTGGTTAGACACCAACGTGAATAAAGGCCACAGCGGCCACACTGCCTGGCACATAGTTGAGGCTTCATGAATGTCAGTTCCTCCGTGGGTGTTCAGAGGAGGTGTGAATGGACTCAAACAAGACCTTGAGGAAGAGAGGAATTTAAATAATCCTAAGCCCCCGGGTTCACAGAAGCACAAGGAGGCCCACCCAGGTCAAGGCAGGTCCACACTAGACCCCATGCAAATGGCACCCCAGAGGGCTGTGCCAAGGGGCGCCCTGGCAGATCCAGTGTGACAAGGGCTAAAGACACAGGCAACTCCCAGGAAATCAGCCCACCCAGCTCAGAGAAGCCAAGGAAGGTGGTCATGGGTCCAGGAAGGCTGCCCAGAGCTTAGTCTTCGAGAATGAGTCGGGGTGAGGAGGCGGGGAGCAAGCTCTGCAGAGGAAACAGTCGGAGCAGGTTCAGTCCCTGGGTGAGCGCCAGCTTCTGCCACTGCCGAAGGAGCCACGAGGCCCCTGGGAAAGCCAGGGAACAAGGCTGAGAGCTGCCAGCTCTAGGTGCCAAAGCAGGAGGCAGGCAAGGGCTCAGGCTGTGTTTTCTCCTCCTGCAGGGTCTCTTTAACACCTGTTACAGCAACTTTGATGAAACCTTAAGCCACTCTACTCTCTGGATCCTGGGGGACGTCTTCCTGAGGCTGTACTTCACCGTTTTCGATCGGGCAAACAACAGGATTGGCTTGGCCCCTGCGGTGGCATGAGTGCTGGCACTGCCCCCGGATGTGGCCCCGCCCACCGCAAACACACTCTCACATAGACTAGGTATTCAGGCCCTGGGGGGAACCGGCTACATCCACGTCTGCTGCTCCGAGAAGCCCTGTTCTCAGTGGAAAATAAAGGCTCTCATTCTCAAGGGTACAGATACGCCGCATGGTGTCTCTCTTTGGGTGTGGGCCGTGCCTCAGAACCAGGCGGGACGCTAGAACCCGGCCTGGACCAAGAGTGAGGAGCCCAACTCCAACTGGCTTCATGGAGAAAGGACACCTATTGGAAGCAGATAGAGGATCCAGGGGACAGAAACCAGAGCAGGTCCAAAGAGCTCGGTGGTTGGACCCAAGAAATCAAAACCCATCAGCGCACTCTTTCTCTCCACTTCGATTCACTTCCCCTGACAGCTTTCTTTTGCCAGCCTCTCCAGGTGGTAAAGGACTTTGCCATTACCTGCCCCAGAGTTTTACATCCTTAAGGCATCCAGCTGGAAAGGAGAGAAGCTCAGAAACAAACAAACAAACAAAGCACCAGGGAGGGATCTGATTGGTCCATCTCAGGTTATAGATCCAGCTCTGGACCAATCATTGTGGCCAGGGTGAGGAGCACTATGATTGGCTCTACTTGGCCCCATGTCCTGTGCCGTGGGTGGCGATGGATAGTTTCCTCCAGGACCACTGGCAGGAGCCGGGTAGAAGCAGTCCCCAGAAGTGGGAGAGAGACGTTCTAGATCATAGTAGAGTATGTGACTCTGTCCATCAACTCCACCATGCCTCATTCAGAGGGATGTCAAAAACAGATTCTATTTTTCCCGTGTCAGAGGACCTTTGGCAGTAGCCTTGTGATTTGGGGGGGCTTCTATCCTGTCTCCCCAACACACACACACACACACACACACACACGCCCCGAGGAAGGCAAAGACCCCAGTCACCAGTTCTCTGCCACCCAGTCTTGCTTCTCAGATTATGAGTTCACATGGGTGCTCGGGCCATTCCTATCTGTCAGACACCCAGGATGGCCCTGCCCTTGGCCTCCAAGACTCTCTTGGGGAGGCAGACTCTCATATGAGGGGAGACCCAAGGTGCACAAAGCCTTTCGGAGCACACCATCCTGCCCTGCCTCCAGGCAGGCAGCTCCCAAGCCATTTGGTTTGAGCTGCCGTGGTTTGAGCTGCCATGTTTTGGCAAGTTTGGAGTCAGGGCATCACTTCTTCCCACATGGAGACCCCGGGCAGAGGCCCAGGAGGAGAGCAGCAGGGGTGAGAGGCAGAGGAAGGGGGGCCCGGACAGAAGAAAGGGCAGGAAAGAGTAAAGGGCTGGAAAACAGCCCCCGTCTCTGCACATCAGACTGCCCTCTCCTCAGGCGAGACAAACACCAGAGAAGGTGCAGTCTTCTTTCATCATCCTTTCCCTTGGTGCATATTTACTGAGCACCTACTATGTGCTGGGCACTAAGGTGGACCCCTGGGCTTGAGCTGGGTTAGGAACTCACCGTCGAGTTACGGAGAAATATAAGGAGATAATTGGTAATACCAGGGATGGGAGCCCAGGGGGGAAAACAACAGCAGTGTCGGAGAGGTGATGGGCTTTCTCTTCAGGGTGCCAGGAAAAGGTGCCCAGGGGCGTCGGGGGTCACACTCACCTCAGTCTTGCCACTGCACCCCCAAACCCCTCGGTCTCCATGGTGTGCCAATCCACTGCATGTGCACAGTTGTATGTCCACAGTCGTGTGGGCCCAGTCCCTTGGGAAGGCCGAGGGTTATGAGCAGCATAAGGGGAGGCAAAGAGGGCTGGGTGCAAAGCTGACAGAGCCCAGGGAAAGGGTGGGATCAGAATTTAAACGAGCAGTACAAATCATGAACCAGGCTTAATGGAGACTCGAGCGAACTGCTTGTTTGTAAAACTCACTTTCCAAGTAGGTCTTCATGGACCCATAAGCATCATGTCTCTCGGTCAGAAACCAGCACTTACCCCACTTGCTGGGATAGTAGGAGCAATGACAATAGCTCCAGTCGGTGACCTAAGCCATCTCACTGTGTCCCACGACCCCCTGCATGGCAGATAACATCGCCCCCACGGCATGGGTGAGGGAAGTCTCTTCCGATCTTCCGCCTCCCGCACTGGGTGCCAGCACATAGTAGGCCCTCAATAAATACAAGTGGAGACAGTAAATGGCGGCAGCAGGGCTGACTGCCATTATATCAACAGTAAAAGACCAGGCTTTCCTCCCTTAAACGAGCCCGTGGCCAGGGCTGAAGCCATGTCCATTAAAACGAGCCACACTGTTCCTGAGGCTCGATATTTGTAGCCTGTGCTGCCAACATGAGGGTCGATTCTGATGCTCAAGGGGAAAATCCCCCCCCCACTCTCCCCTTTCATCCTTTATCAGTTGCAGACCAAAGAGACTTCCAGCCTTTGGTGAGAGAAAAATATGAAGAAAAAGGGAAAAGATAGCTCTTGAATACTTCTTGTAACAGTGTAAATTGATACAATCTTTTAAGAGATGATTTGTCCTTAAAGGTGTCTGGCCTTTGTCCCAGCGATTCTGCTTCTAGGATTTCTGCTAAGACGATACTCAGAAACGCCCGCAAATGTGAATGAGCAGGGATGCGATCCTCCGAGTATCTGACAACGTGGAAAACCTGGGACCTCCAATGTCTATTAAACAGAGTTGTCCACGGTATAGTGGGTTCGGCCATCACGCAGCCACCTAAAAATCGTGTTTTGGAAGGATGTTTAATGTTATGGGAACTCATTCCAATGGGATGTGAAGAGAAAAGAACAGGAGACGGAACAGCACGTGTGTGCCCAGCACGTGGAAGACAGGGCCACACACCCACCAGGCAGGCACACCCAGGAGCCGTACCCTCTGGGTCCAAAGCCCACCTCTGACACGCACGACCAGTCACGTGACCTTGGACAAAGGTGTCTCTGTTTTCTGCCCTGCAATTTTGAGAGAGGGAGAGAGTTCCTCCCTCACGAATCAGCAGGGAGATGCAAATCCAAACGACAGTGAGATATCCCCTCTCACTATTGGCCACTATCGAAAAAAACAAAAGCTGGCGAACGCCGGTGAGGGTGTGACGCCCTGCACACGGCCAGTGTGAGCGCGCAGTGACGCCCCCACGGTGGGAAGCAGTGTGGAGGTTCCTCGAAACGTTACAAATAGAATTTCTGTAGGACCCAGCAATCCCACTTCTGGCTGTCCATCTGACAGAATTAAAATCGGGATCTTGAAGAGATGTCTGTCCTGCCGTGTTCACTGCGTATCATTCACAGCACCAAGCTGTGGAGACAGCCTAAGTATCCATCGACAAATGAGTAGATAAAGAGAATACAGTGTATACATACAATGCAACGTTATTCAGTCACAAAAGAAAAGGAAGTCCTGCCACGTGCAACGAGACGAAACTGGACTTGGGCTAAGTGAAACAAGCCAGTCGCAGAAAGACAAATACTGTACGATTCCACGTAGATGTGGTGTCTTAAGTAATCACTCACAGGAGCAGAGAGTTCAATGGCAGCTGTCCGGGTTAGAGGAGGGGGATGGAGGGCCGCTGCTCCTCGGGTGTGAAGTTTCAGCTGGGCGAGATGAATGGGTGCTGAGCACCTGTTACACAACACTGTGCCTCTAGTTAACAACGCCCTATTGTGCACTAAAAGTTTTTTTAAGATGTAGATCTCATGTTAAATGTTTTTACTATGATAAAAGAGTAGTTAATTAATAACAATGAAAGAATAGCCTCTTTTATTTAGGGGAAAGGGCAAGGTTGGCAATGGGAGACTGCTAATGTGTATCGTGTTTCTTTTTACGGGATCAAAAGTGTTCTAAAATTAAATCGTGGGATGGTGGTATGGCTCCGTGAATATACTAAAACACACTAAACTGTACACCTGAAATGGTAGGATTTATGATACGCAAAATAAATCTCAATCGGGCTATGTGGGTACCATATGTAAAATAGTAGCAGGAAAAAGTCGTCCCCACCTTCTCAGTCTATAGTGCAGATTCAAAGAGTTAAGCTGTAGGAAACTGCAGGGACAGTGCCTGCCACAAAATAGCATTGAGTTATTACTAACTTCACACATATGAGAGGAAAACACCCAAAGTATTGAACAGTGGTTCTCTCTAAGAGCCAGCAGTATGGGCGATTTTTCCTCTTATCTCATACTTTTTTCCCCAATGATAGCTTTTAAGATCAGAGGAAAACTAAGCATTATTCTCTGAAACGTGGAGGTTTCATGCAGAGAGAGTCGAGAGAGGCTCTTGGTGGGTGAGAGAACCCGGTATCTTTGCTGAGGTTGCCGGCTGGAGCACATGGATTCCCAAGGAGAAAGCCGTCCAGAAACAGATGGTGAATGGCTGACACCTAGTGGCCAAGATGGGTATTATGCGTACACACCTCATGGTCTTGACCCGATGAACCTGCCCTTTGGTTCCATGTACATAGATTTATATATCTATATAGAGGAAGATGTATTTAGCTACAAACTATTATATTCATTATCAATATTTCCCCATAGAGTCTATTTATACTACTAAAAGTTGGAGTCCACCCTAGTTTCTAACAGCAGGGAAATTATCACCAGGAGGGAATCCGTTCCTGGCTTTTAAAGTGATTAATTGGGGACTACAGCCATTGAGGAAAGAGTGAAGATAGGAGATATAGAAAACACTTTAACCAAGCTACTAAAACCATTAACACTACAAAGGTTGAGGCATGAGGAGAGATTCCATTCTCGGTCTAACTAGCCCAGGAACTTGAACTTTTCTGGACCTCGCAGTCCTGCGACAGTGCCTGGACACACATCTGGACCCACAGGAGAACTCCCGATAGTCCTCTGATTGTGCCCGGAAGGATTCAGGTGTCCAGACCCCTGACACAAGCACCAGATGTGCCCAGGCCTCCTGGCACCATCTTCCGGGCCATCTGGCACCTGCCACCCCAATGTCCTGGCACCTGACTGGTCCTCATCCGGACCAATCACAGGGC